CTCTGGCCTGGGTCAGCTTAGTGTGTCTGGCATTTCCGCACGATTATGCATGTGAGTGGCGGTGTGGTGCTCGCTGGAAAGCTTTCGTTGGGCGGCTGGGCGGGGATAAGCCCAGTGGACAGCCCGCAAATGCCCGCCTGGAAACGGTTCTCATCAATCTAGTTACTTCGAGAGCATGAATTATGAAAAACGTGCAAAATGCAAACGGAAATTAAAATTTATAAAAAAAGCGGGACAAGCTGAAGGGGTTTGGGGGATTGAGAACTTCCACTCGGTTAGACAAATGCGCTTTGGTAGGGGTGGAGAGGGGGGTCAGCACCACCAGCACACGGAAATCAAGGAAAACACTAGCCAAAAGACCGAAATAACAAATGAAAAAGGCCGGGAGCCTGGAGCCGTGGAGCTAGGGAAATATGTTTGGGGAAAATTAAACATATTATCCCAGACTCCGGACGCTTTTTGCTGCACAGCTGTTGAAAAACAAACCTCAACTTTGGCCGCATACAACATTTTTGTCAGGGTCCTGCTGCTGTCCTTTATTAATTTAACAGGCTATGCCAGTGATGCGATGCGACTTTGACTACAACTTGAACTACAGCAGAGGGAGGAGGAGGCAGGACCACCGACGGAATTCAACAAGCCATAAAACATATGAGGCAGCCGAGTCGCATTCATTTTTCATGAGCCGTTGGCTTTTGTGCCCATCACAATCATCGGACGAGGCCCGAAAAGTCCCTGTGCCGGGGACTCCCCCACTCCGACTGCCATCCTCCTGGCGACACCAACAATCATCATCGGGTGCTCCGTCCTCATCCTCATCCGCTCCAGCGGAGTCAGCTGGAGGACTTCTGCTGCTGCTCCTGCTCCTGACTTCTCCACTCTTGGCTACACTTGAACTTACAATGACACGTTCGAGGTTCGAATGATGTAGGAACGATGGGTTGGCACTGGGACTGGGATTGGGGGTGGTCCTGCATATTTGTTTGGGAATATTCGAGTAGGAACCTGCCACTGCATATCCTTTTCTTTTTGCTTCATGCCAGTAGATTTCACACAAATCGCTTTCATTTGTTTTAATAGGATATAGAAGGAACTGCAAACTTTGAACTCTGATTCGTGCTGTGGTAATTTCCTTGTATTTTTATGAAAATAATTGGTGAGCTGGACAATCGGAAAAATAAATATAAATACTGCGTCAATTAAATCGAAAATGACTCGTTAAAAAATAACTCCACTCAAATTAATTTGAATAGGACGTTATCTTTTATTTTTACGCTTTAATAACAGTAATCCTTATCTAGTTATAATAAAATAATTATACCATAACCTAGTACGTCTTCAGCTAGAGCCGCACTTCATTATCTCGCGAAATAAAATATCTTTATAGAGCTTGAGTGCCTGCGAACAAAAGGTGGGTAAATATTTTCATTGAGTGACATGCCCTCTTGTGTTTCCCCTTATTTATCTCAGTTTACAGACACACAAATGAAAACTGTTTAAAGCTTCAGTCCTTACATCTCGCTGATATATTCAGCCACTATTTGTAACCCCTACAACTTACTTCGCTTCCTGTGATTTTCCCAGCAGGAGCTGGGGAAGGTTTAGAGCAATCTCAGTTTGCAGGAAGCGTCAAAGCAATCATCAATCATCCGCCAGCGGCAACTTGAAGATACGGAGAAGCACGTGAAGAGACAGCGACATTGATGGAAACCAACACCTGGATTTTGCCTGCCCAACAGTTCTGCTATTTTGGCCCTTTTAAACAGCCTTGTGAAGTAAACCTAATTTTGTTCAAAAATTCTTATCTTAATTTAGGCTGGTAAAAATACACCATTTTTTAAAACAAACGAAGTTGTATTTTATTTTTTCTTTTTGAATTATATTTTGTTTTCTTAAATTGGCTGCTGGCAGCACCGCCATTCTCCCATCCATTGAAACTCCAATTTGCTGTACATTTCGGGAAAACTCTTTATTTCTATGTGAACTGAACTTTAAAAATATTTTATTTTTCCATATAACGTATGCAAATTTCGCTATACACTTTTTTGCGACTCTTTTGCCAATTTTTTTGTTTTGATTACAATTGCAAAACATTTGGGGCATACGTTCGCTAAATATTTGTTTTAAACATTTTATATTCTAGGGGTGTATACATATAACTATACAGATGTGTGTAAATATATTCACTATGTTTATGTGGGTAATTCTGGTACGCTTTCACGCGTGCTCTATTTTCATAAATATTATTTATTTATTTATTTGGGCAATCAATTTGCGTATTTTTTCTGTCCCTTCTGTCGTTTCTGTTCCATTTGCATTTGAAATGCTTTGGCATTTTGCTTAAACACTTACGTATGTAAATTGAAATTTGTCGATGGCTGACCATCAACTTTTATTGTAAATATTCGCATGTGGCTAAATGTAGGTATATGTCTATTTGCTGATGTATATTTGTATGTGGACCGTAGGTCATCAATATCCATAATAAATTAATAAATATATATCAGTAAGCCTAATTGGAGCCGAGAGCCTGCAAGATCGGCATCCTTCTGCTCCACTCTGTTGTTTATTGTGATTTGTTGCGGTCGACTGCCCACTTGGCCATGTAAAAGCTGTCGTCTGCTTGATTTGGCAGCGGGGAATCCGCCCCCTGTAAATTGTAAATCCCGATCCCCCTCCCCGAACTGGGTCAATAAGTGCACCCAGTGATTTATGGCCCTCTCCGGCAGTCCTAATTTAAATTATGATTGGGCTTACGCATAAATTAATTGTCCTGGTCACCTAGCACAGGCTGGGATCAATATCAATATCGAAATGCCTCTCGCTTGATTGGCACTAAATGCTATGGCTATTATCATTATGGCGTGCACAGTGCACTTCTCCTTCTCAATCGGTTTTTATTATTTATTATTTGTTTTTATCCAAATTAAAGCGAGCATGCCAGGCTGAATTTGACTTTGTATTTTACAGTTTCCGCTTTAATTGCCGTCTCTGGTCTCTGGTCTATTTCTGCCGATTGCTCTCATTGTTTTTGGCCATTTAACTGACTGTGCTGCTGTATCTGTATCTGTATGGGTGTACTCTATATATGTATATGTATGTATGCCTATGTATTGGTAGTTAAACAATTATATGTATATTAAACTGGCGCACAATTTTACACTCGACTGCCCGCTCAGAGTTTGTTGCTTTGTTTTCACTTTGCCTATATTTAATTTCACCTTTTTTCACTGTTTGCATTTTGTTTGTTTGTTTGTCTATACTATTTTCACTATTGCTGGTTGCTGGTTGGCTGGCGGACTCGCTGCTGTACTTGCTGCATTTAATTAAATTTAAATAAAATGATCATCGAGGCCTGACAGGGTTAATTGCACGTTAACACACGCTAGAAGGCAATCGAATAAAGCTGAATTATTAAATGGCTGCCATGGCAGCCAGAAAACTTTGCGTTATGGGTTGTATGGCGGAGGCTGGGGCAAGTGCTTAAGCTAATTGCAGTTTGGGCGACGGGCGAAGGGGCGACAGCCGACAGGCGGAACCGGAAACGGGCCTGCAAATGGCCGCAGATCCCTTGGCAAACGCACTCACGTAGCCGCTAAATGTTTCAATTTTCTGGCAGCTCAACGCGGCGCCGCAGACATTTAATAATAAACGCAGCTGCAGCACCGAAATGGCCAGAACTTTCCCGGATGTCTCCCTGTCTTTTTTTTTTTTTGGGGATTGGAATTGGAATTGGAGGGTGGGGGTGTTGGTGGGGGAATGACAAAGACAACCGCGAGCAAATGGCCATCGACCATTTTGATGCCTTTCGGCCAGAGAGCAAACAAAATTAAAAACGAATTTCAAATGCCTTTGCCTGGCTCAAAAATGCAAATCGCATTCTCTGTCACAAAATAGTGATGGGAAATAGAGTATTCTCTAAAAGGTAGAAGTTTGATTAAAAAAAGGAATAATATGTATAATTTAAATTATAAAATCAAAAGGCTATTAAAACCTAACAATAAAATATTAAAAAAAAATGTTTTATTATATGTAATTCTATTTTGCTAATTTCTTATCAGGTTAGGATTTCTGTTGGGTGAAAGAGGACAGAAAATGAGTACTATGTACTATAAGAACTTGCCATCACTACCAGTACACACACACTCGCATAAGGAAGAGACACAATCGCACACCTACACGCTCGAGCTGGACAAGTTGCATACTTTCGGGCGCAACATGCAATTAAAATGCAAAAAAGGAAAATGGCAGAGCGGCCATTTCGGCTTCAGGTCGGTTTGGTTCCATTTCGTTCCGTTCAGTTCAGCCTGCAGCTGCAGCTCGAAAAACCAAAGACCAAAATCGATGCAGTGCCAAGTTGAAACGGAAATGCCAGAGCCGAATCCGCATCCGTCCGTATGTCCGTATGCGTGTCCGTTTGTCTGTGCAACGTCTGCGGTTAGGACAAGTTTGCCAGTCGGCATCTGCCTCTGTGTGTGTGTGTGTGCGCGCCACTGTGCGAGTGTGCGTGTTGATTTAGCGTTAAGCTTGTTGGATTTTTGCGTTTTGTCAACATTCCCCCGGCCAGTTGTCGATGCATTCGCAGACTGCTGCTGCGGCGGCTTTCTCGGGGTGTTCAAATAATTGCCGATAGACTTCGGGGCAAGAGCATTTCGAGATTGAATCTGGTTGGATGGGAGTACGCACACAGAGAAAAATAGTCCACAAAAGTGGTCATTGATTCGTTGTTTTCGAAGGTGCTTCGAAAATTGGATTCACTTATGGAGGTGTCTAAAAGTATGCCGATTGCTGCATAATTTAAAGCCCTAGTTACTTCTCTTTAATCTAATTTCTTTTAAAATTTTGTTAAAATGTTAAAGAAAGAATTAATGATTCAATAAGGACGATATTCAGATAAATTTATAGGTTTTTGTTTCTTTTTCGTGTTGGAGTTCTTTTTTTCTCTGTGCAGTCTATAGTAGTGATTGGTGCAGGGGAGGTAAAGTGCTGCTTAGACTAGGCTTACTGTTCATTAATGGTCGGGTGACTATACAGTGGGTGCGGGTGCTGATCAGGTTGGGTCCGTCAATTAGTCCTATAGGTAAGTTTAACTCAACACTTGCAGATATTATTCCTATGGCTATTTCTCTTCCTATTCGTAAGTTATGAGTGCATTGATATTGCTTCGTTGGCCTGCTATATTTCTTGATCTATTTAGCCTCATCATTTAGATTATGCTCCTGTCTTTCTTAAGATTGTGTATCACCTGATTGAGAACAATGATTGATTCAACAATTTGTATAAGTGAGTGTGTGTTTGTGATTGCCGGTTGTCGAGGATCCGAGATCTAAGCAGCTGCGCTGCTGAGGGCCGAATCCTAGGGATGCTTCGTATAATTATTGAGCGGCATCTCGTTCACATGGGTGTGGGCCACCTCCTTGTTCCGCTCGTGGAGGGCCATTTCCAAGGGGGCACTGGCCGGCTTCTTTTGGGCCGCCTTCTGTGTCTTTAGCTGGAATAAAAGGTTCATTTAATTGGGAATTTTTCTGGTATTTAGAATATTTACTCTCTGTATCGTCTTTTCAAAGTCCTGATGCGGTTCTGGTCGTTTCATCGTGCTGCAATTTCTTAGACGTTCGTTGGTCTGCAAAAGATTTACGAAATATTAGTTATATGCACATAGATTTAGATTTTTGTTTGCAAATGTTTTTTCCCCATTTCTAAATTTTTAGTTATTTGACTTCATTGCAATAATTGTAAAAAACAACATGCAGATAAAAAGTAAATTTAAATAAATATTTTTCTGAAGGCAACACTGCGTATGAGTGATTCACTTTAAAGCCAATTCCCGTACCTTCAAAAAGTAGGACCTAGTGCGCATAAATTATAAATATATTATACAAAACAAACTCATTCCATATTATTGTAAAAATATTTTTTATTGTAGCTAATATTTCCTTTTACTTTTGCACCTGTTACCTTTGCAGCTTTTACATGTTTTCTACAAGGTAGAACAAATTGTACCACCCATGATTACTTCATTAACTCGAGCCAGACCCAACAAATCGACACCTCAAAACAACCGCAGCCAAAACTTCAAATGGAAACGGGGATGTCAAATGAAAAGCGGCGGGCAGCCGAGTAAGTGTAATGAAAGGCCAGCGCTGGATGCTTCTGTCCCCGGAGCAGCATTTCCGCAGCAGACCGCATAATGAGTGCCAGTGCCGTTGGAGCCGAGGAGCTGGAGAGCTGAGAGATGCGGACCTGAGGAACACACGCTCCGGGTGACCTTTGACCGGGGGAAAAAGCACAGCGAATCACGAGCTGTGGCCAAAGAAAGGTAATGAGTGCCAGAGGACACGCCGCACACACAAAAGAAGTTGTCCCGAACCGAACACGGAGCACAATTGTCGCCAGTGCTTAGCCCAAGTCATTTTCAAAATTGACCGCAAAAGTCGGCAGGAACCGGAGTGGACAATCTGCAGCCGTGGTCCTCGGCAGCGGCAAATTGTGCTTAAATATTAAATGAACAGCCGGCGAAGGAGGGGGCGCTCACAAAAGAAAAACCGGACAACAACCGTAAAACACGAAAAGTTATAAACTCTCGCCGGACCGGAGGATCCCGAAAAACGCTGGGAAAACCAAAATAAAAGGACCCAAAAAGTAACCAAAAAGCAGGAAAAAGAAGAAAAACCGGCAGCTGGGTGGAAATGGAAAAGTGCACGGCGAGGACACACAAAACAAAACACTTTGGCACGCCTGAAATAATAAAAACAAATGCGAATGGAAAAAGGACAATCGTGTGTCGAGGGGGCGCCACCTGATCCCCACCCACATCTTTTACATCCGGCATAACAACCGCAGCAAAGCCGAAACGCGCCAAGGTGCAAATGACCAGGTAACGTGGAGTTCCAGGAACGTGCTCCTCGGGTCCTTGACAACGCCCCCGACAATGTGATTGGCGCCCTCGTCCCCGTATTTGTCCTTTGCGATTCCCGTATTCAATGCACTGGGAAAAACCAAAAATCACAGAAAAAATCCTGTCTTGTTCAATTAAATTGCTTTTAAAATAAATAAATCTAAATATTTTAACAAAAATATATATTTTTTAAGACAATTTAAAAAATTTAATTGATAAATAGGGAACGATTAATTTCTTAAATAAAATAAAATAAAAAAACTCTGAAGAAAACGTGAAATTCGCTAAACCCTTTACAATTTACAAACATATACATATTTTTAAAATAAATAAAGATGCAATATTGTAGCTGTGCTAGAAGTTATTTCTTTAAAAATATTTAATTCTTTTTTGCGAGTACATTCCGCATCCTGTTCTGGACTTCCATCTGTATCTGGCACTTGCACTTGCAGGACCCCCACCCTCATTGACAGTTCATATCTCTGAGTCTGCCATTTGCATCCGGCACATGTCCTTGCCGCGCTGCCCTGTTCTCTGTCCTCTGACCCCTGAATCCCATCCCGGCCTGCTCTTTTTGCTCCGGCTGTGTTGTCATTGTCTGGTCTCGACCACTCGCCCGGCGCAAGTCAACGCAATTAACGGTAATTGCCTTTTATCGGCTTAGCCTTGATAAAGTTTTCCACCGCCCCCGGGCTTTTGCGCCCCGCCTCCTTTTTCCCAGAACGCGAACTTTCCTAGTTATTGCTGCTATTGTTGTTGTTGTTGCTGCGTCCATCGTTGTTATTTGTAGGTTTACGCGGTTTTTATATTTTAATTTAATTTTATAAGTAGTCCCAGTGCTCCGCCCCCCCGCAAACCGGCGAACTTGTCCATGGCAAAAATTCGACATTAAACAGAGAGAGAGAGATGGTAGGAGAGGAGTGGGGGAAAAGTTTTTGTTTTGAATGCGGCAAGGAAATGCTTTGAAGTTGGCTCCAAATTATGGAACTTTTCATGGCTTTCCAGAGAGATAGGAAGCGGAGGACGGGCGACATGCCCGGTCCTGAATTAAGGAGCCGGGAATTAAACTGCGACCGAAATGCGAAAACTCTTTCCATTTTCATAATTCTGAAGCAGCTTAGGGGGTGTCAAATGCTCAACTAATGAAAATGTCACGTCTATATGGCGACGAACGGAAGTGTCGGATGAAGACTAAAGTTCGCATATTTTATTGATATATTTTGCTTAACTATCTGTTTAAAAGTTCCGTTTCCAAATTAGTTTTATTTCGTTTAATTACAAAAAATAACTTACGAATTCCATTAAAGATTTTATTGTTTTAACTTTTAGGACTTTCTTTTATTTATTTGTTTGATTATTCCGTTTCTTCTTTGCTCTCCCCTTTTTTTAACATTTCTAAAGTTTTTTACCGACCACATTAAGGAGTTAAAGGAGGCAAGCCTAAACGAAGGCAATAAAAACGGCTTATAAACCGGAAATGACAAAATCACACACGGAATTGTTTCCAGATGAAAAAAGGTTTACCTTTCTTGTAAGTGGCACCCAATTTGTGACCTCCAAACTCACCTTCAACTGCATTCCCTCCGTGGCGTTCAGCTCATCTCCACTCTGCCGGAGGCCCTGCAAAAAACGGGCGAATACCGTTCTCCGCTGCTTGTGCTTGTTCCGGCCCTCTAACCAATCCAATCCAGATCCAAATTCGAGGCAGTGAGGCGTACAATCAAACCGAGAATCAAACAGACATTCATTTGATTAACCAGACAGTCAAAGTTTAAGCGCAAACCAATTTAATTGAATTAAAAGCCATAAAAACCAAACAGCCGCCAAACTGTCTCTAACCACAAGAACCAAACCACCTGCCCTTTTAAGCGCTCCTCACCTGTTGCCGAAAAGTCGTAAAAGAAATTGGTCCGTGCTCCCGGATAACTGTGCTGCATCCCGTTCAGATTCAGGGCCGACTTGGAGTCGATGGCGTTGCGGGCCATGCGATTGGCCAAATCATTCTGCGTGTAGCTGTAGATCTCGTTCTCCTCGCGATTCGACAGGCAGCTGGAGGGCTGCACATGCACGAGAAATGCCAAAATAAATGGTATTTTTAGAAAAATTAGTGATTTCATTATTCGGAATAAATAAGAATTAATTGTTTTCTGGGCATTTTACAATATTTTAAAATAAAAAAATTTCTAAAACATAAAAAGAAATGTTCTAAATATCCAATTCACTCTAATTGATATTCGAAAAACTGTCTTATCTGTAGGTTCTTAGGTGAATCATAAAATATTTTATGATTGTATTATAACGAAATCTCTATGGCCAAATATTTCCAACTCAAACCCCCAACATTTTCCAAAAAGTTAGTATACAAATATATCACTGGCTCAGGGGGCTCTTAACTACTGTCACAATAAATTTCTTTCGGTGCAAGTACACATAAAAGAGCACACATGAGCATGCATAATAAACGAAACGGAAATGAATTAGAGTCTGATTAGCTGGAGGTCGTAAAGCCTCTCGGGGCCGTAAAAGTCGTGGCAAAAGTCGGAGCATCTGCTCACTTACCAAGTACTTGCCGGGCACATAGAGCGGCTGACTGTGGCTGGTGGGCATCACCGAGGAGCTGACCAGGCCCGTTCCACTGCAGCTGGGCCCAGCCATCCGGCGGGTCAGCGTGTGCCCCGTGGAGATGCGCACGTGGCGCTCCTTCCACTTGGACAGGCGCACCTGCTCGATGGCGTCCAGCACGTCCTCGTAGGGCATGTTGATCTGCTTGCTGTAGTGGGCGGCCAGGCCCTCCAGGTAGCCTCGTTTCCCCTCCTGAAAGGAGAGAAGACATTATAAGACAATCATGATTGTTTGCAGAAAAATAAACTACATTTTATGAAAATTAATCCTTTAAATTAAAATTAATTAATTATTTTTGGTACAGTAAATAAAAAATGAAATATAAAGTTTATTAATAAAATCAATAGTTAATACATGTAGGTAAATAAAAAAATGTATTATATATATCCATTTCAGATGTTACGTTTTAAACCAACTTTTTTCCAATCCAATGATTAGAATTTAAGTTTACGATATTTTTTCATTTTGAACTATATTAATGAAGTATCTTTTCCCTCTGTGCAGTGCAAAGTTAGAAGGTAGAGAAGAGGGCCAAGTCTTAACCGCAATCCACTGAGGCCAGGGTCAAAAGCAACTTAGGAGTTAGGAGTAAGCAGGGCAGGCGCACAAGTGTTAATATCTTCCGGTAATTAGCGTGAGGCTGCCACTTAAATGTGTCCTGTTTGACATTCAAAGCGGTCACTGAAGCGGCAGCATCGTGCTCCTTTATGCTGCTCCATCTGCAGCTGCGTCTGCATCCGCATCCGTATCTGCATCTTCTCTACGTCCATGTGTACTGTGTCTATGTCTGTGTCTGCACCTGCATCCTCAGCTCGGCAGAGCAGAACTAAACCTGAACCGAACCCCAACCCGTCCCTCGAGCCTGGCAAATTCATTTAGCGTCGCATTCATGTAATGCACATGCAAACATTTGTGCTGAAATGCAACTTGTCTGCAGCTGTCAGTCAGTTAGACACACAGATACTATATAGTACTATATATCACCCATCCACCCACACACCCAGAGGGCTGTCTGTCTCATCAGCGCAAAGTGCAATTAGTTGAAGTTGGAGCCCGCGCGTCAACATGGCCCAGACGAACGGGAGTCGAGGGGGCTAGAAGCCAACAAGTCCTGTCTAACCATCTCCTTTCTCCTTCTGCATTCTGCAGACACCTTTCTTCGCTGCCATTCGGTATAATTCCATTTCGGGCTTAAAGTTGCATTTCAATTTGCTCCACCGCAAAGACAACAATCGTAAATATTTAACCATATTTTAGCTCACAAACTATGCCAAGTACTGAGCCATAAGTTTGTGGCGAAAAAAAAGAACTGTCAGCTTGCGCTAATTAAAATGCAAAGCAGCAAAATCTAATGCAGCCTATGACAAAGTTTTCACACATAGCCACGAAGCAGTCTCAGCACTTTTTGACAGGAACTGGAACCGAAATAGAAGTGGCTATGCACTGGGGAAAAACTATTCTTAGTTAAATCCATTAAAATCATTCATAATATGGTTGGTTTTCTTAACGGAATTTTTAAAATAGTTCTTTAATAATAAAAAAAAAATTATCTGTTAATAATAACGTTTTTTCATTGATAGTGAATAATAAAAGAATATTAACTTAAGAACTAACATAAAAAACAATTTATTTTGTACATATTTGTGTAGTAAATGTAGTCTATTTATATGGATGCAATATGGATGTTGGAATTTTGCTTGTTTTATTTTTCTCAGTTGAGTAACAAATTCAGTACCAGGAGCTGAAGCGGAAGCCGGCGGATCGCGTGGCCTGCATATTAAGCAGCTGCATCGGCATCTGAAGAGTGTCTGGCAAACTGTCAACACTCTATGCGTGCTCAATAGCCACGCCTGCCACGCCCACTGCCACTTCCCCGCCCCCCAAGGCTGAGGCATATACATAGGTGCACACACCACCTCGACTGCTCACCGCTGGAAAAACTTTAAATGGAGATGGCTTTGCATCTATTTGCATTGCATTGGATTGCATTTCTTTGGCGGAATGCAGGCGGCCCTGAACCAGTGACACGTTTCCAGATACAGCCAACCAACAAAACGTGGACAAAGGCACCAGAAGTCATCACAGCCAACGAGGCTGCCAAATGCCTTTCAATATGCACTTCTTTCACACGGATACAGTGGTCTTGCGTTGTAGAAAACTAGTTCAAAATTCGAAATGAAGCAGTGGGGAAAAAAACATATCTCTCACCATCATTCATTTAAAATTACATATTTAAGACTAATGATTTTATCAAATAAAAACACCTCTTAACGAGGTAAAAAACTAGTGACGACCGCACCTTCAACATACAAAAGTTCTGATATCAACATTTGTGACGAAAAATTATTACACTCGTCATTAAATAGACTTTCTAATATTTTCTCATTCGGCCCGCCCTAGCAAACTATTCCAGCCTTTTTCCCTTTACAGGCATTTTCTATTGCAGCGTGACGAATGAGAAAAGATTAAAAAGTCTATTTAATGACGAGTGTAATAATTTTTCGTCACAAATGTTGATATCAGAACTTTTGTATGTTGAAGGTGCGGTCGTCACTAGTTTTTTACCTCGTTAAGAGGTGTTTTTATTTGATATCAGAAGTTTTTGTTTGTTTACATTTGCTCTCATAGGAGCTAATATATACATTTAAATTTAAATTGGTCAATCATAATTTTTAAACTATTGTATTTTAACAAATTAAGTTAAAAAGGCGTTGAAGTATTTCAAAATACCTTTTAAACGAGGTATAGCACATGTCTGTACCTTTAGTAGTGTAGAACTTACAAACTAACGAAATTTAGCTATTTTTAGCTTTTTCCCGCTAAAGTAGCGGCTTTTTCCAAAAGTCGTAGAACAAAAGATTCCTATATGGAACTCTTAAGTGCAAATTTACTGATTCCATGACCCTAAAATACAGTTCGGATACCCTCCCACAAAATTCAATACTCAGGGAGCGTTAATTGTTCGAGCTGGCAAAAGTGGCTATTTTCGTATAAAAATAACTTTTAAACGTGACTTTTTACAGTAATGTGTTATATACCAAAATTTAAGGAATCTCAAGGGCTATACAGTTTAAGGTTTTAAAGAAAATCGTTAGAGCCGTTTTTGAGAAAAATAAAAAAAAGCTAAAAAAAAAGTTTAAAAAAATTTTCTTTTGTTCATATTTTTTTAATTATTACATTTACACAAATTGCATATAGAAGGCGTTTATAGCAATTAAAAATACCTTTCAAACGAGATGCAGCACAAGTCTGTAGCTTTAGTAGTATATAAGTTACGGATTTCCGAATTTTAGCTATTTATAGCTGTTTTCCCGCTAAACTAGCGAGTTTTTCCAAAAGTGGTAGAACAAAAGTTTTTCAAATCGATGTGATGAACGTCATATCAAATTTTCAGAACTTAAAAAACATATTTTGGACAAGTGGACAAGTGGACAAGTGGACAAGCGGACAAGTGGACAAGTGGACAAACTGACAAACAGAATTAAATTTTCATTTTGGGAAGACGAAGGAAATCTTATTTTGGCTATAACTTTTGAACGGAGCGTCGGATTTTGACAAATGACCCCTCATTCGACGGGTATTTTCAAAAGGAATACAACTAAAACATTTCGAGGGGGCTTTTATCCCCACCGGCCCCAGCAGCTCCAAATTTCGAAATTTTCACTTTTTCACTTTCACCGCTCTCTCTCCCAAGCCAATTAATTTTCTTAGAGTCTTGGTATGCAATCCTGTTAGTTTTCGCAATACCTTTCGATAGGTGTATAATTCATTATGATCGGACCATCACAGTAGATTTTCATTTCTTCGTGTATATATAGTAGTCGCCTTCGCACACTCTCCTGGTGCGCTTCGTCACTACATGGACTGCCGTCCATAGTGATTTTATAAATATTTATTTTCCATTATTTTTTTGGTTGACAAACACTTCCATTAAACCGATCATAATTTCGATATATTCATAAAATAATAACTTCCTAAATAATCATTTTTTTATGACGAAATGTCCACTGTTTTTTGGTACTCCTCACGTTGCAATAGTTATAAATGCAAAAGAGTTGGTCCTGCCGGAATCTGCAATTTGCTGACCCTGCAGTTTTTGCCGATCATTTAATTGTGCCCCGTTTTCCCTTCACTTTTCCATTTCCCCGCTGGCTAACCACAATGCAGAGCTTTATCTCTAAGCCAGCAGCAGTGACCAAAAAATACGCGCCAAAATAAACAAAATTAACGCAATGCAAAATCATTTCCCGGCCGGGGACCAACATGCATATAATAAAATAAACCAAACAAAACAAAACAGTACAGAACAGAACAGCAGGAGCACGATGGTCCGATGGAGGACATGGTGACTGTTGAGGTGACCCAGCGGGACTCCGTTGGTTGGCCACTCGGTTTAACTAAATTAAAATCGTGTTAATTTCACATTAGAGCGCACACAGCACCGGCTCCCCGAACGACTGTCACACGTTGCATTTGCACCCAGTGCACTATGGTCCGAGCGGCCGATTTTTTGGCATAAAGTCGAAATTTTTATGTTAATGTTTTGTATTTTTTATTTTAAATTCTTAAAGTTAATAGATCATACATATACAAACTTAAAAAAAAAAACTTTAAAAGCTACACTAACGCTTTTTATGAGCTTTCAAAAGTACACAATCGATCAGCTGCTTAGGACTAAGAAATTGGCGCCATAATATTTTCTTTACGTTTGTGCAAAAAAATAAAACTTCTTTGTCCCGACTAAATTAAGTAAATTATGGAAATGAAAGATCAAGGTATGTAATATTTAGTGTGTATAGTACATTAATGTGTAATCTTAGTGTTCGACCTGTGTTTAATTTCCAATTTATGTGTATTTTTATAGAAAATTAATATTTGTTCCCTGTATTTAGTGGGATAAAACTAACGACCCGACGTCTGCCCACAAAAACTAAGTACGCCAGTTTGTACATATACATGTCGTTTTTCAGCGCTAATTAACACCATTTCCCCGTTCGTCCCCCTTTTCACGCAATTCCACACTATTCAGGGACCTTAAAGTTTCTTCGTAGCGATCTCTAGGATATTTGGCGCAGCAACAAGCGAAAATTTAATTTTTTTCGGATTGCATTTCTGTAAAAATTATCAATTACCACTTAAAAGATGATAAAACATCAAAAATAAATTTAAAAAAGTAGTTATTTTGAATTTTTCTTTGTTAAGCATTCGTAAGAGAAAGAAAAGGAAATGTCTTCCTTTGCTTATAATTCCGTTAAAAAAATTACAAAAATTATTGTGAGTGTGGGGTTTGAAAGATACAGAGTTGCACTTTTTAAATGTTTTGAGTTACATTACATACGAAGAATCCGTTCGTCTGCAAAATAGGTTCAAAGTTTGCCAAAAACAGAATTTTTCCAACTTTAGTGTCCTTTTTTTAGAATCCTTGGGTGTGAAAATTTTTTCGAGAGCACATTTAGAGCGCTGATTATTTAAAGCAAATAGGACTTTTAAGATTTCATCGAGGTATTTAAAAAAAGGTTAAATTTTATAACACAGTGTAGTATTATGAATTTGCTTGTATGGGAGGCAATAGAGGGCGTGGTCGCACAGACTCAAAAATTTGTTTGCATACTATTCTTTGTAAAAAAACAGAATGTGTAAAGTTTTAAGTCTGTGACTCAATTTTTAGAGTTTATGCCAAAAAAATCGACTTTTGGACCATAGTGCAGTGTCCACTACCGCCCACTGCCGCCCACCGACACCCCCTGGCCACGCCCCCTGGGAAGGCAGGATGCAAATTGCCAGGGCCCTAAACAAAATAACCATAGATAAGAGCAATCGCTGGCTGGTTGGTCGCCACAGTTAGTTGGAACCGTTTGCCGAAGCAGGAAAGTTACTTTAATAAAAATAAAAAAAAGCAAACTAAATGTAGACATAAAAGGAAAACATATATGTAAAAATTTAAAACTAGTAATTAAATTAAATTATAAATAAAATAAAATCAGGTGTAATTCTTTAACAAAATCATAAACGAGGAATACAATATAATAGACAGTACTTATAAAAGAAATTAAATAATGAGAAATAAAATCAAGTATGATATAGGAAGCTTATAAGCTAGTTCTTAACTCACCGGTGTGGAGTACGGATGGGCAGTCAGCCGGATACCGTCCGCCTCGAGGTGGCGCTTCATGACCGCCTCCAGCTCCTTCATGGTCACCGGCGTATCACAGTCGGAGGCCAGGATCTCGTTGCTGCTGCTCAGGGCCTTGGGGTCGTTGATGAGCACGTAGACAATGGCGGCGCCCTTCTCCCGCAGCATGCGCACGCTCTTTAGCAGTTTGCCCCGATGCGACGGGTTGTCCACCCCGATGGCGTCCAGGTCGATCTCCCCGATCTGCTTGCAGATCTCCAGCTCGTCGTAGCCGTTCTCCAGGAAGCTCTCGCCGTAGTGGGCCAACCCGATGGTGCGCAGCCACTCGCAGACGATGTTGTGGTGCGGCATGGTGGTGCCGGCAGTCGCATTCGCGTATCACGTGGCTCCGCTGGGAAACGGAAGGTCCAGCGGTGCGAAGGACACCTTGTTGAGGCGGTGCGGCTTCGTCGAGGTGCTGGCACCACTTGGTCCACTGACACCACTAACACCACTGGATGCAATGGCTGTCGCCGGCGGCTCCGCTTGGTTGCAGCTGCTGGCGGCACTGCTGCAGCTGCTGCTGGAGGTTGCCTTCATAGCAGCAGGAGTACTCTGCCAGAGAAAAAAGATCCAACCAATGTACTATTTATTTATGGAATTTAATAACAGTAAATTTAAATGAATTAAATAAAACAAATGGTTTTATTTGGTAAATAAAGTTTTTAATATTTTATTTTACAATCTTAGTTTTCCCTTCTAGTTTGAGTGTTCATAGAGTTCAGATTAGATCGGAAAATAAATCCAAATCAAATATGACTGCCCATAAAATTGCTGGAATATTATACTGCCTACTATCGGTAGTTTTAAACCTATACATTTTTTGGCCATTTCGATCCGCTATCATAGTCCAAACATCCTTGCTATGATTGTAGAGCGGAAATCTATGATTTCGATTAAAATATAACGAGAAACATTAAATTAAATGGACTTTGGCTCAGTGAGAGCAGCAAAAGTTATGGTATAATTTGGCAAGTGCGACAGGGCGTATGCGTAATACGGCTTCGGCTACTTCCGGTGGCCATTAAACCCGCCTGACAGGTGAAGGTCAAGGGGGGAAATGCCTGGAACTGGGCTCTGAGATATGGGTGGTGGGTGGCGGGAGGCATGGCATATCAATTTGCGTTAATAGCAGTCATTGTTCACTCGCAACGAGGGAGAGGGTCTAGAAATGGGAATGGCACTAGGCAAGAGGCCTCTGCCTCTGCCGAGTACTGCCTATAAGCACTTAATGATAATGCTCGGTCATGTACACGAGCCACTAAAACACTTGAATATGCTTAGCCCCGGAAGCCACTTGCATATGAATAAGCCACTTAAAATGACATATGGACCAGTGCAGACACAGAAGGGAGGCATCTCCAGAGGGGCGGGGCTGGATGGCTGCGCCCTCGGGTCACAGACAAAAGACAAAAGGAAGTCGTCTAACTATTTGTGCAATGCCCTTTCCCCGAAAGCGACCCCGATCCCTGTTTGTTGTTGCCGGGCGAGTGTGTGTTTGGTTGTAAAAATATTTTTGCTTGTCGAAAAATGAAATGCAAATGTCTGCTGGCAGCAGAAATATTGTCCAGCCGTTTCCTCCTCCGTCAGGTGGCCGGTGGTGGTGGCCATTCTCCCCGAGAAGTGTGGTCCAAGGAGGCAGACAATGGCATAATGAAAATAATGTGGCTACAGTTTGCTCACACAGAGAGCTGCAGCTGTCATTGAGTGTGCTAGATTGAAGTGCTCCGTCTCAGTCTCATTCTCATTCCCAGTCTCTTATTTCCATTTTGCCATTGCCCAAATCACATCTAGCCCGTGGATTTATGTACAAGAACCTGGGAGCCGAAGTGAGAGACAACTAATTGACTCAGCTTGACTTGGCCTCGCATACCTTTCATATTGATAAACACATGCTAGACAAGATGCCAGAATGCCGGACAATGGGGCGCATGAGTGACCTCCGGCCGAGGGGATGAAAGTGATGAGGCTTTTAGCAGATGAAAGGCACGAAATTGCTGGAAGGGTCAGAAAGGAACTTGAGCAGGAGGAATCCGATAGCCCAGGCAATTTGGAGCTATATTAATATTGAAATGATTTAAGATATGAATTGATAAGGGAACGAAATGGGGCGAGGGTTCAAAGAAGACTTAACCTAGGCAGTCAAGGCATTTAAAAGTACCTTTAAGTGTTTTCCTTAAAAATATCTTTAAACTCTAATTTAACAAATATTAAAAAAATAAAGTTTTCCCTCTTCTCCATTTAAATTTTTCAGTTTACTTAGATACAAGATAGCGGGCCTAAGGATAAAATGGCAAATCTGTAATTCAGTTACGAATATTCTTAGCAAAATTATTCCAGCCCCCCTTGCCAACGCCTCTGAGCTGCTGCAGCTGCAAATATTTAACCGCATCTCAGCCCAGCTCCCCCGGAAAACTTTCGGCACATTGTTAGCATAATAAACACATAATAAAATGCAAAAGGCAAAATCAGTAAAGTCAATTTTGAAGATGTTTTGCATACGCAGCCGTTGCAAACAGCTTGCCAAAGTTTATTTACGAGCTGGCTGGCCGAACCAACTCCGTTCCGGCCCAAAAAGGTTGCAATCCTCGGTTAATGAATGTCAGTGGCAGTCCGTAGTCCGTACATAAGGCATATATATCCTCCTCTATATTCGGTTGGGAAAATGTCATATATAAGATGCTACGGGTCGAGTGTAATTACATGAAAGCTGGGCAGAAATTTGCATATGCCGCAAACTGACTACGATAAGCGTCTTAAATTTTCAATTTCATTGTTTATTAAGTGCCAAATAATTGTTTGTGTGCAGTGAGCTGAATTTGTGATCAAAGGTGTTTGGCCAGCCCACGTTTTCCGTTTGTAATTTGCAATTTCCTGAACTCCTTCACCGCCCCCGAGATGAGATTTCCTCCGGTATAATTATGAACAGTTTGTGGCCCCTGAAGCGTGTGAAAATTCGCAAATGCAACGCGCTTTCTCTAATTACCACCATCGATTATCGCCTTAGCTTTCCAATTATGAAACTCTAGACTTTCCAAGGGGGGATTAGAGCCCGCTGTGCTAAAATTAAACAGAAACAACACTCACATCCTCAGATAAACACACCATATAAACCTGCGCGACAATAGCCCCATTGTTTATGGCTTTCACACAAATTTTTATGCAAAATTTCAGCCGGAGTAATTAATTTTAATATGAAAGCCAAACATGCGCGCTCTAACAATTGTCATATAATTTGCCGTCTAGACAGTGGAAATTTAGTATTTTCAATTAACTGCAATGGCAACTGAGCGCTGCACCAGGACCTCTTAACCCATTCCAGCCCCTTAACACCCCTCGACAGCAACAATGCACACAAAAAGGCGCACACTGATTATTTCCACGATGAAGGGGCAGGAAGCGGAAAAAGCAGAGCTGGAGCTTTGCTGGCTGACTGCCATGTTGACATTGTTGGCTGAAAAAAAAACATAAAAATAAAAACAACTAAAACCCCAAGGAAGAAAGTATGCTTTCACTGGATTCCGACTATCGAACTCACTTTAAATTACATAAAGTAAGTAAACTTCATAAATATTTAGAAAATAAATGTTTTAATTTAAAAAAAAAACAAGTTTCATAAAATATTTGTATAAACATTTCTAATTTTTTACTTGGAACCCCTGTTTTTACCCCTATTTTCTATTTTAATTTAACTGAATAAATAATTGAATATCTAAAAATATATTTGCAAATGTAATATGAAGTTTTTAAAACTACAGATTTTAAATTAATAATTTTTTAATTTTTGTAGTAAACATTTAATTTAATTTTGCATTTTGTTTACGTCTTGGACCTGAAATTTAAATGTAATGAAGGCTAAAAATTTCTGGATAGCAGAGCTACCAATTAAAGGCCCCAAATCCCGTGAATGCCAATATACCCCTTAGTATCATTGGCAACCAGTGCGAAGGGGAGATATACCCACGACCGAGTTTGGTGGGAAACAGCCAGAATGAGCAGGGATCCCCTGCACGGACGCCCCTTGCAGCCTTGACTCCGGGATAGCAGGCGTTCAGCAGACGGCAGAGCGACGTCCTCAAGGTTGGCAACAAAATTGCACTGGCAGTTACTCGAAAGGGGGTTCAGTCATGGGTGGCAGGAGGGGTCAGGGTGCAGCCTCGTTCGTGTGCCAATGTCAGTGCACCTGACGCTGCACTTGCCACTCGGCATTCACTTCGACTCGCAGCTGAACTCAACTCAACTCAACGCGGCTCGGCGACTCGCTCCCTTTCCCAGGCCAACAGTGCGTATTGCGGTGGCCGGGAAGCCTTACAAAGCGAAAGGGGGGGCAACCCCACCCATGGCCGGCTTCGATTTCACTTTTTTTTCGTACCCTGCTCGCACTCGTTTTTTAATTGAAATTTCATTTGCCCCGTTTGTTTGCACATAATTACGATTCGGAGGACTTTTGTCGCTTGTTATGCAAATTTAAGACCGGCTCATCCCGAGATGAATGAGTGTGAATAGACGGAGATGCATGAATGCCCGACTGGAGCTGCATTCTCATTTTTCATATTTCCCCTTTTTTTCGGCTTCGCTGCGGTTTCATTGTGGTCGGAGATGGCCCAAAAAATGGAATGGTTTTAGCCCGGCTGAAAGGATGAAGACAGCCTGCAGCTATAGCTGAGGCTCCATTCAACTCCAAGAATTTCTATGCTAAACAAATGAGCACAAAACTAAAACCCATTCAAATAGTAAAGTCGGCTGGGGATAAACCAAGAAGCTCGCCATGTTTGCAAAATGCACCACTTAAACTGCGCTACTTGCAAGATCGTAAATGCAAAATGTTTCAAATTAAAGAAAATTTCAGTCTAGCGAAAAAAAATTAGTCAAAGTAGTACATAGTTTCATAGCAGCTAAAAGTCATAAATGAAAAGGTTTTTAAAGACGAGAAGAACAGCTAAAACCTCAAATATTGCGAAAATTATTATTATTATTATTATTTTTTTGTATTTTAAAGAATTTGGAGAAACAAACAGATTTTCTCAAAAATACTTTCAATTTTCCTAAAGAAGATGTAGTTGTTCCCAAAGTTTTAAAGGATGTACGAGCTTTACAGATGCTTCCTTTGAGAAACCTGGAAAATAAAGATCTTCGTTGTTGGCAAAATTTGGCAAAATCAAAAATTCGTCCTGTTTTGAGCAGCTAACAATCTAATAATATTATTTCTATCACTTTCCAGCCGATTTAAAAAGATCATTTTGGTTGTCAATTTTAACATTTTTTATAAAATTATATTTACAAAAAATGGCAAAAAGTTTAAATTTTCTAGTTTAAGTGCGAATTGA